ATGTCAGGGAACCTCTTGGAAAATTTCAAGGAAATTGGTTTAAGTCATTGAAATATGTCAGCAATGAAATGAAACATTGTAGAAATATGGACAAGTATTTGGTAATCACGTGTTGAGAGTGTCTCATTAACTGATAACAAATTGTTCTATTGCATGTTATCAGTTCTGGGGATATGCTTCTGTTTCTTCTCACGCTTTTGCTAACTGTAAAGCGGGAGTATTTGAAAAATTCCTTTGCATATCTAGATCACGATCTACTGCTGGGAAGCAGTGGAAAATCCTCATAGCAATAGTAGAGTTAGCAGAGGTGTTAATGCCCAGTCATGGACTGATAAAGGTAAGTAGTGGATGGAAGTATTTTGTGTTGGAAAAGTTTGTAACAATATTGTTCTGTCCAATGCTTTCAACGTATTTCCTTTTTTTGAATGTAAAAGGAACCATTACGTATCGAGATGGCTGTCAGTGGGGTGAGAGACCTACACCTGTAGAGGTGTTACCAGCACAATTGTTGTGATGCTCTCTCAGACCTGCCCACCCCAGGCAGCTGGGTTAAATATAAGTAATGTAGATGGTAACAGAGCTGGAGGTTTAGTTACAGGTAAAAATGCCTAGTGACAAGGTAGATGCCTTTTGAGAGGAAAGGGCAAAGCTATACGGAGATGTCCATATTTTGGAATTCACTTAGATCTCTCAAGTAAAACTAGTTCTTGCTGGACCCTGGATGGGGAGGTATCCAAGGAATCATGGATGTGCTGATGAAAATTCAGTGAGGAATACTTTCCTTTGGTGCTGGTAGTAATCAAATAGCTTGTCAGGTGTTAGAGGGCAGTTGGAAATGTTTTATTTTTGGTAAATAGAATTGAGGGTCTTGGTTCTTTCTTGTGTAAAGCAGTATGCAAATTTTAATGTGAAATTACAGACTTTCTGGCCTTGCTAACTTCATGTTTAATTGAACATTTTAGTTGATTTAGTTGGCCATCTAGTTGATCAACTGACTAACAGATGTAAATTTAATTAAATGCAATACTTTTCAAAACCTAAACTATAGAGTGATTTTGCATAAATTATGTCAAAAGAAGCTGATTTAAAACATCTAGCCTCTTCTCTTACTGTAAGCCAGATCAGTTATTCCGGGAAGCTGCCTGCATGCATTTTTTTTTTTTCCAAAATAAGAAAAGATTAATAGGTACTTAGGTTTAAAGACCAAAATGTGCCATTGCGTGATGTCGTCGTTGTTGTGACAGAGACGAAATGTGGTGGTTTGGATTCTAGATTGAGCTCCAGTGCTGTCCTTCCAGCGGAGCTCAACCGGCCGCTGCTGCCTCCACACTGGATGCAGGACTGGGCTCTGGGGTTGGTGTCAGCCCCCAGCTCCGTCCTTTCAGCTCCTTTTGCTGGTGCCCATGTTGAGCATAAAAGTGAGTCGCTGACTGTGGATTGTTCTGAAAGCCACGAATGCCACCCACTTTTCTTTTCTTGCCTCTTTAGCTGTGGAGATGGGAGTTGTGTGTTTCCCACAAGTGCTTCCTCTTGGCTGGTTTGAAGGGGTTCCCTGCTCCACCTGTGGAATTTCTGGTCCTGTTTAGATGTCCCTCTGTCACCTTCGTAGCGAGCCTCCTTGCCTGATACAGGTCTTGGGGTTGTTTCAACCCATGTCTCCTTCCAGAGGACTTCAAGTAATGAACAGTCAACCACCTTTCCTCAAATGGTAACTCCTGTATTATTTCCCATTGGAAATGGCAGAACATCTAGAAATCCCAGGCAAGTTGTGGCTGCATCCACGGAGAGCAGCTCTACATCATCTGGGCAGCCAGATAAACATACCCAAACATGTTGCATTTGCTGTGTCTTGTCAGTACTTATGTGTCTTGGATTAGAATTGCTCTGCATTCAAGCTTGAGTGGTTCTGCACATGCAGACATGTTTGGTGCATTGTGGTTGCCTCAGGCCTCCTCTTAGAATGTATGAACCAACCTCAGCTCTCCATCACTTCACTTTTGTCTCCCTTCTACTGAAGTTATTTTTAATTTTTTTGTTATGTTTATTTACTTATGAATTTATTTAGTCATTGATTATTTTAATGCCTAGAATGTGTTATTCCTTTGTGTGACATGTTACTCTAAGAGATTTTGTTATATCTTACAAATCACACAACTGTGACACCACAGAAGAAGTAAGACTTCTGACGCACCTGGTGCTGGAATAGAATTTAACTAAGTTTGTGATAACAGTTATTTCGGAAAGGATAGTCTCAATATATCCTACGCTATCTATAGAGTAGTCAAGTTACAGTTTGCTTTGTGGAATAGTGTCTGTTTATCCATCAGAATATTAATGCTGGGCAGCAGGGACAGCAGGAAAGCCCGTCATGAAAAGTTTTTCAAACTACCAGTTTTAGGGGACAGGTGCATTACGGAAGCAAATACTGAATCTAGTTGAAACAGGTGGCAACCTGTAGTTAACTCTATTTCTTTTGAAAGGAGAAATACAAGAAATTACAGTCATGCAGAATTTGATGTGTTCCAGTTGAATGCTAATTATGACAGTTGTCTGTGGCTTTGTAACAGGGGTGTTTTTGTTTAGCTGTAAATGTCACAGCCAACGAGGTCAAATACTTATCCAAAGTGGCTGTGTGTAAACTGGCTTGCAAGCAAGCTATGATGAAGCAGATTTTGTTCATTTGAGTAACTTTTTTCTTTGAGTTTGTGTCCGAGTCTGAGCAGATGAGAAATCCCACCAGAGAGCAAGCCAAAGGCTTAAGTGTTGGAAATGTGCAAGTGTCCCTCTGCTTTGTCCACCTTTCAGCACAGAAAGGTACTTCTCCACCCTTTGCTCTTGCCATGCATTAATTTTGGCACTAGTGGCCCCAAACTTTCTGAACCGATGGCCACAGCAAGTGCTGGGGCAGCTCTGCTCTGCAGTGCCTAATTCTGGCTCTCAGTTCACTTCCCAACTCAGTAGACGTTTTTTTCTCTTTTTTCCCCCTACATTTTAGTTTTCTGCTCTCTTTTTTTCAGCTCCTTCTTAATTACATGTTAAGATTGAGCCTCCTTTTTATCCCGAGTTCTTTAATTCATAGTAGTATTTTCTGTGACTTGCTGTCATAGAAACGAGGGCTTTAGAGGACCTTACAAGCTCGTGTAATCCATTTCACTACCTCAAGGAAAAAACTACTCTTTTTAGACCAACTCTGGCAGACATCTATCTCACCTATTTTTAAGAACCTCCAACGAAGCAGATTGCATGACCTCTCTGGGTGATCAGCCTAGTGCCTTGGTTTTTTAGTAGTATTCCAGAGATCCCGCCTGTTGCAGTTTAAGTCAAATTCCTTCACCAAAATGTCTCTGAAAACCCTATCCAGAGCAAACCGTGTTGCCAATTCAAAAGCTATTCTGCTCAGATCTCTCTAGTCCATACTTTTACTTTCAGTATCTGTTCTTGAACTTAATCTCTTGATCCTTAGGGCATTTGCAAATCAGTTAATTTTAGTTCTATCCTCATCATGTGGTCTGGACAGGTAGTATTGCCTCATTTGCATCTCTTGAAACCTAAATTTGGGGCTGCACTCTTGCCATGTTACAGCTGCAGCATCCTTCGGACAGTTTCCTCCCTGAAAGCATGCGTAGAGTATGAAAATGCTTGATCATGTAGAAGGAGGCCAAACTACTTTGCCCTTACCATCACTGAACACAGAGCCCCCCTCTTCATTTCAGCATCCGATTTGGAGACAATGCTGTGGCATTTAATCTCTTCCTGGGCTGGTCTGAGCCAGCACCTTGAGTTGTCCCTCGGCCTGTCTTGGTGTCTCCTCTCCTGATTTAGGAGGATCCCTCCCTCCTCCTGCTAATTTGCCTCTTGTTATATATGGAAATTGCTTTTTGTCTGTGACTGGGTAAAGTAACAGTTTTCTCTTATTGTACCATATTTTTAAAGATCTCTGCTTAAGGACAGCTTTTTAAACATTTTTTTTTTCTTGCTGCTTCAGTTTAATTCTATGAAGCAATCTGCGATTTCGTTTCTGAAGGATACCATACGTGAAAAAATTTGCCTTGTAACTTGGATAGTCCCATAGCAAAGAAGTTGGCATTGCATGTTTTCTGACTTGCAGGTACAAGCTTGGTCCGAGGGAGCATAGCCAGGAGGGGCTGGAAGGCAAAGCTGTGATGACATGTTCAGTATCCAGGTGGAGGGCCAAGAGGGCAGCTGCGCGGTGCTGGGTTGCATTCCAATGTGCTGATCCGTGGAACAGCGTTGGCATACGCTTTGGAAGCTGCTGCTTGCTCTCCTGGCTGTAGGGAAGGGGCTGAGGTGATGGCAGGGAAGGAAGGCGTGAGTCTTTGCAGAATATTTTCATATGATCGTGGCCTATTCTGAGCAGGCTGGACGTTTGGAGCCTTGGCATTTCTTTGTGTTGTTGTTGTGTGCTGTGCTGCCTCTGGTAGCTCAAAAGTTAATTACTCCAGAGTGGGTTGTTGAGAATTTTTTTTTTTTCTCCTTGACTCCTGAACTACTTAATTAAGTTGTAGGGAAGCTATATTTTCTCACTACTTGGGGGCTTAATGGGGTGGAGGCTTTGGAAACAGTTTAATAATTTCGCATTTTATATGCTCTAATGAATTTCCCAGGATTTTGGAAGGGTTGTATCCAACTTTAGTATCGTAATTTCCAGAGTTTTATTTATGCTAAAATAAGTTAGTGGTGGATTAAGAGGCACAAAAACCCAACAGATTACAAATGAACTAGTGAAGACAGGGTTTCTTTTGGATAAAGAACTTGACTCACAGTTGTGACTTGTACTGAAGTACTGCAGACCATGAGTTTCACCAGGACCACAAGCTGGCAATGGGTTTCCTCTTCCCTCCTCTGTTATTTCAAACCTCTGTTTGATTTCAGGTGCAGAAAAGAGAGGGTTTGCAAGGACCAGAAACAACTCTGAATCTGCAAGAACTCCCCAGAACTTCGATAGGAAGAGGCAACTCTCTGAATCACAAACAGAAACAATGAACAATTCAGACAGCAGAATAAATCCTAGACAACTGGGAACTCCCAGAGGTATTAAAGCAGAGTGCGTACACACTTCAGGAATAAGCTACCTCGAAGCATGTGCTCAGCACTATTAAAAGATGGGCTGGGATGAATACTCTTAACTATAAAATGAGCTGTAAAAGACTGTTGATTATTTGTAAAGTATGATTATTCCAGGCTTTTTGGTGCTCTGAAGTCTGGTGCCAGTATTTCTAGGCAAACTGTTCTCAGAAGTTCAACTTTGAATACACAGCCTCTGTACAGCTGGTGTTAAGATACATGGACAAGTTTGGTGGGCAAGATAACACTTATGAATTTTTGTTTGCAGGAGGATCCTATGCTGCTGTCCCAACGTCAGGGGATAGAAAGAATCTAAATAAACCCACTCGAGGGAGGAAGAAGAGTATATTTGAAGCCTACATGTCAAAAGAAGATTCAGGACTGAAAAGGGGAGAGCTAATTCAGGTGCCTGGAACATACAACGTCCATGCTCTTGTGGTAAACCTGTGGAAATCACAGGCAGTTGTTGGAAATCAATGTCAGTTGGTTGCGTGACAGGGAATTGATGTACCACTTGTAGATGCTAAAGGAAGATTTTTTTTTTTCCCCCCTCTCTCAGAAGGTTCTAGGAGTGGAGTGAAATCTTTTACATTCAGCTGAAGTATAGTTTTTGGTTGGATTGCATGTTCTGTAAAATTCCTGATCCACCCTGGTGGTGAATTGCAGAGTTCTGGTTGGATGGTCCGCTAGCCATGATAGTCATTATTGTGGAGACACTTGCTTTTACAAATGATGCTGAAAAACACAGCAGGTGCTGGCAGCCTCTGTCTTTGTCAGTGTAAGTAAAAATGAATGCATTTAGCAAGATAATTCTTGCTGAAATTCCTCACAAAGATGTTCATTAGTCCTCAGCAGTGAGGTGCAGACGCCTCCACTTCCAGATCTACCCTTCTTTTTTCAATCTATCAACACTTCCCAGAAACCTCTGTCCCACAAAAAAAAAAAGGAGAGTGGTGGTGCAGGTAATGCTGTGGTCCCTGGGGTGTCATAGGGTTGTGCCTACCAAGGCATTGCGATAGCTTATTATAAACTATCATGCAACTGGTTAAATTAATATCAAATGGCCCGGCAGTGGTACTAGACCCTTGATTTGCTTGCCTAATTTTCTTTGCATTCTCCTAAGGTCACAGGGCTGACCCAGCCCCTGATGACAGTGTATGGTTTACTGAAGTAAGGCATGGATAGTAGATGGAGCTGACTAGCCCATCGAGATACAGAAAGTCTTTTGCATGTGTGTGTATGGTTATTTGCCTTGAACAGCTAGCGATAAGTACGTTCTCATTTTACAGATTCTAAAGACCAAAGATCGAACTTTGTGCTTCCATTTGGAGCAGCAGAATTGCAGCCGTAATTAGGCAGCAATTATTCTCTGAATATCTAGCAAAATGTGGAGGTGGACCTGCCATTTGTATGGGTAGCTGGATCTCAGAGGAGTTTTACATAAAGGTAGGCAGGGCTGAGGTTCACTGAGGAGTAGGAGAAAAGGGCAGCATCCTAGAACCACTGTTGTAGTACAGTCCTCAACATGTTGTAGTGTTCTTCAGGACACACCTGGCATCCCAGTGAGATCAGACTGGCTGGGGAAAAAAGGTATGTGGGAATCAGTGAGGGAACAACAGACGCTCAAGCTGAGGCATTGTTTCCCCAAACACACGCTGATACTGATTGCCATTTAATTAGTGTTGTGACGCTTGTGAGGTTGTGATACTTACTTTCATCAATATGTTGAAGTTGCAAATGGCATCACCTCACTTTTTGTCTGATTTCTTGTTATAATTGCATAGTAATTCTAGTGTAATAATGTAACAGCATAATTTCTGGAGGTGTGATGAGGATTCCACGTCTAAGATTGCCTGATTCTGTCCCGAAGACCAATCTGATGAACTCTTAGCTTTCAGAAAAATGATGAAACGGCATATCCCTGCCGATGACCAGAGTGGCCTACTGGGCTACCCAGATCCTTAGGCCAGTGCTTTTTTAAAGACCGTCATAGACATCCACAATGGGAAGCAAATGGTGAGGGAAGAAACGGGAGCCTCAAGCTGTGACTTCCCCCTATGGCTGCAGTGGCATATGGCAGCAACTAAAGCATCTGCCTTACTTTTTGGAGTGTTTTTGGCACCTGTTTTTGGTAATGCAGCCTGAGAGCATTAACTGCAGCCTGTGTAGAGTGCCTATGAGGTCGAGTGCAGCTGCAGATGAGGCGCATCAGACTATGACTACTACCTGAGAATCCCATTGAAATGCTGAGTCCCAGAGGACCTGTGATTGCATGCTCCCTGGCAAAAGAATCCCTAATTCTTGTAAATGCGTAGTGTCTACTCCAAGTCATGTGCTGCGTAACTGGAAGAGTCATATGTGCTTTCTTGGGCTGTGTCTGTTTTCCTTTCATCCAGTTTCATGTCTCAGGGAAACAGTTGAGGCTGTAAAAGCTGGATTTAATAATTTAAGACTGACTGTCAGATCATGGGCATCCCAGCTCAATATCTCTTGTCTTCAGCTCATTCATCGTTATGATCTCCTCAAGACAATTCATCATTGCAGTCTCAACCAGGATAGCAATTTTAGTGAATGGACAAATACTCAGCACTGTTCTGTACAATGGCAAGAGACATAGTGAACAAATACTTGTTGTTAATCCCCAAAAACAGGGCATTGGTCTGGCATGGTAACCTGCAAAAATACTCCACAAAAGCCTATGGAAGAGGAGAACAAACCTATTGGTCTGAATTTGTTGGTCCTGAGCAAACATGAGTGCTAGCCAGACAGAAGCATGACTCTCTGCCCAGGGGCCATCCCCTGGAGCATCCTGGAAACACTGGATCTGCATGTATTTATGTGAGAACTTGAGAGAGATCTGTTAGAGAGAAAAGACCCTACCATGAACTCTGAGGATGTTTCTGGACCCTGGCAACGCAGCTATGTAACTGAATGCTCCTTGAAAGCCCAACCCATGGAAACTACTGGCAGACATGGAGATCACTCAGATAAAACATGAGTGCTGTGAAGATTAACCAGTCCTAGATCAGGAAGAACAAAAGTATTATCTTTATGGGTGCTGACGTCTGTCAATAATATTAGTCTTAATAGCTTCTGGTACTGTATCTGATATAATGAGTTTTCGATAAGTAGCATGGAGAAGTGTGCCCTGAGGGATTCCTGGAGTCATTTAATCATGCAACGTGTGTGGAAGTGTCCTTCCACAAGAAAGGAGATCTGAGCTCAGGTGCTCAAGAGAGTGTAGACTTCCCACTTCCCGCCCGTAAAACTGCCTGCAGTGAGCAAACAAGCAGTGTATCAGGTTAGTTGGAATTGCATCGACTGGTCTGAAGGCAAACAAGATTGAATAACTTCTGTGTAGTTACGTAAGCGGATGGTGTTGGCTATACACAACAGATGAAGTCAGGTTATGTATTAAAGAACGTTGACCCAAAGGACCATAATCATCCTGTGAAGCACCAGACAGAAACTCATGTCTGCTCCACACCTCCGGCATCTCCCAGCCCCTCCCTGCAGGGCTGCTGGGGTCAGGCAGAGCGAGACTGCACCACGTACAGAGGTGCAGAGCCTGCTTTGCCATTAAGAGGGAGTTTTTCTTCGGAAATCTGTTCTTTTGTGGGTTTGAAGGCTGAGGTTTCCCTGATTTTCATGGATTGTTTTTTTCAAAGGTGGCCTTGATAGCAAGGAGATAACTTGGACCTTGACCTTTTTTGGTGTTTCATACATGAATCTAGGCATATGTGTTATGATAGCCGTTCTAAACTACTTGATTTGAGGTGCTTGAAGTTTAGTCTGAGTATTGTCTGCTCTGGTTCAAGCAGAGCAACTTGAGAAATCATGACCCTTTTGTGTCTTGCTGGGGAAGCTCAATAACGTTAGGAACCTTTTTGGCAAGTATGTGTGAAGCTGACGAATCATCAGAAAGTGTTTTAGAAACATTCCTGCAAACCTTTTTCTTCCCTTTCAAAACAAAGGCCCTACTGACATAACAACACTGATAAATATAGCAGCTATTATTTGCAAGCTATTGTAAAATAATACAAGGTTAGTGTGACATCATGAGACTCTGCAGCCAGATCCTCACCCCCTAATAGACATATGAGAACAGTTGTTCACTGCAGATGGGGAGAGTGACTGGTTCCAGATATGATATCACAGCGTGAAATGTACAACATTGTAAATAGAATTTTCATAGGCACAGATAATAGGGCCCATCTGCTTTCTAAGATGAATTTTGGGAGTTCCTTGCTTAAAGGAAAGAGCTGAAGTATTTTAATGCTACTTGATGTAAGAATTCTAATGCTTATCATAATTAGGTAGTGCATATAAAATGTAGAGAAACCTGCTGCGTGGTAAACACGGTAACACTTCGCTTCTCTGTGTGTTTGCTGGAACTGGGCATCCATGTGCACGTAGCCGCTCTGGCGCCTTCTGGACCGTGGACACAAAACCTGATTTTTCACGAGCATAATGGGCATTTGCACCTGACTGATTGACAGCTGTCCCAAACTATTCAAGGGGATTCTGCAGAGTAACACAGGATATCCCCTCATCTGCTTTATGCTGGTGGGTAGATGCTGGTATGGGAATTGTTTGACTCGTCATCAAGCAGAGCAGCCATCCCTTTTCATTTTTTCCTTTCTCTCTGTAGCAGCTTGCTCTACTAACAGCATATTGGTTTTGATGGCTGATTCTGGGAAATAAGGGGAGAAAAAAGGTGGTTGAGAGTTTGCCATCAGTGGGTACCGGTGTTAATAGGGGCTGATGACAGCAAGTTAGCTCTCACTTTGCCTAAGCATAAACTATCCCCAGGGTTACTCCCAGTGGGTTGTCTTTGTTTTCGTGCCGTTGTCCTGAGTTGTGTCTGCCATGAGTTGTGCCTGCCATGTGGCTAGTGCGCTCGTTAATACTAGTTACATAAGGGACAAAATAAGACATTGCAGGAAAGTATTCAAATAATGCCTAAAGAATATAGATTATATGGTGCTGGTATTTCCAAACTTAAGCAAATAAAACCAATGGAAAACCTTCATAAATCTGCAAATTCTTCTTCAAGGCAGCAAAACTTTCACATGTAATCAGCTTTATTTTCCTATCGTCTGAGCATTTCCCAGAATACATAAAAAAATCATATGCCGCAGTAAATTTTTAAGGAAGCAATTCCTATGAGAGGTTCCTATGATTGCTTAACACAGAAGTGCAAACAGATGGAATCTGTTCGTATAACAAATTGGCCAACATTATTTCAAATACACAAGTGGAGAAAGTTTTAAAGTTTCAGCCCAAAGCAGAAGCCTGTCTGAAGGCAGGTACTTAGTTGTATTTCCTTAAGAATCAAATGCTGTCAGTTTTAACTGCAGTCACCTGAATCACAATTCCCAGGACCCTCTTGGGTGTAGCCTGTAAGTCCTTGGTTGGCTCTCCCTTTCTCTTGGATGGACCTGAGTTCAAGCAGCAGAACTGGTTGGTTTACTTTGGAAGAGGGATATGAATTTGTTGCAGGTGATTTGAGCTTTGAGTTGGCAGATAACAAAGCAGAAATAGATAGATCATGGAGTTTCAAATGTATTTAAGATAGTTTGACTTTAAACATGTTTAAACAGAATTTAATCCTGTAGACTTTAAATGTTTGTTTTTGGAAAATCCTTTTGATTCTTCTCTGGAAACATTCTTTATCACAGAGTTACTGCTACTGTCTGTTCGCAGGAACAGCCTAAGCAGCCAGAGCCTCATAAGGCTGATACCTGCTGCCACGCAAGCTCAGCAGGTCAGCTTTTCCGCTTTCCTCCCATACTCCAAAATAAGCAAAACCAACATTCTACTTTTCCAAAACAGAGCAAAACAAATTGTTTCTATTGTCTGTTTGTTAGCAAAGTTGGTGGATGCTCAGCAGAAAATGTGTGAAGGGAAGAGGAGGGCTTGGATCGTCAGTTCACCCAGTAGCAGCAACAACTAATGATTCAACATCTCTTTGATGACAGACTGCAGTAGATCAGCTTAAGCCTATCATGAAACTGCCTTTTGGCTTGAAATTGCTCAGATGCTAAGTTGTCAAGACTTGAAATGTATAATGGAAATTTAGATGTATCTCTCATGTTTCACAGTAGATATATTACCCACAGCTCTCTAATTTAACTGATGTTATGTAAAATTAATAAGATTCAGGGATAATCTTTCTCCTTCTTCTCATTTTTTTAAGGGACCCTTGAGAATAAATCCTAAGAAGTACCATGAAGCCTTCATTCCATCTCCAGTAAGTGTAATTTTACAATGCTTTAAAGTTCATAAGTAAAGGTGCATTAAGATAGGAGTTATGCTGTGCACGAAGGGTCACTCAGAGGTGAATGAGTTGGAATAAATGAACATGATCTGGATTTTCTTTTAAATCAAATATTCCCAAACAAATCCTGCTTTTTTTATACCTCAAAGAACAACTTACTTAGCTGGTGCTGAAATTAGGGATACTGCTGGGTCCCACAGAAACCAGCTGAAGTCAGGTTTGAGGACCACCAGATAGCGTAATCGGAAACCCTTGGTTTATGGCTGCAGAGGTTTTATAGATTTTCCACTGATTTAAGTTAATCTTCCCTAAACAAATATGCTCTCCATTTTCGATCTGCTGCATGAGCTAATTTGAAAAGTCATTCCAGAAATAATATGCGTGATTCCTTTTCATGTGCCCGCTTTTGCGCAAACTGTATCTTGGTTGCCTTGGGATGTGCTCCTGTCACGTGGGACTGGCTTGCACCTCTTCTCTCTTCTTTCCTTATTTTGACAGAAAAGAAAGGCTCTTGTAATTTCAGAGACTTGCAGTAGGGAAGGTGACCTCACAGCTGGCACAGCTGAGGCTTTTTATCTGGAACTGACTTGGTCAAAATGTTACCATCAATGGGAGAGAGTTTCATATTGAAATGTTTTGTTGGTGGGGGGGAGAGAAGGCAGAGCCTGCTCTGGGACAGGGAAACACTGACTCTGTTGTTGTCCCTGCTGCTGACAGCGCTATTGTTTTGGGGCTGGGATTGAAAGCCTTGAAATTTGTGGCGTTGTCGGTCCACATTGTTGATTTGGGAGCCTACTTTGTTAGAGAAGGCTGGCATTACAAAGGTGGAGGAAGGTCAGGGGTGCACAAGATAGATTAAGATTAACTAGAGGAAGAAGTACAGAGCAGCTCTCCAGTACATCAGTACAGCAGCACTCTGTGTATAAGTGAAAGGAACTGTGATCCTTCCTTTACAGGTGTCCTTGTAGGTGTGTTAAGTGTAAACTGTTAAACATGTTCTCTGAAATTACAAAATGCAAGATTAAGTGAGAAATCCAGCTACTCAAGTGAGTTTAACTGGATGTGAAGCTTTACCCCTGATCACCCCTAGTGTCCTGCTCTTGCCTTGTGCAGTCGATTGCTCGCTGTTCTGCATGCAGGAATACATATGTTAAGGAGGGTTAGCCAAGGTTGTTATCTCGGCTATCTTTCTAGTTTTCTGTCCTTTGTGGAACTGAATACCAGAACCAGCCTTGTCCCTGATAACAAGCAGAATCAACACCTGGATGAAGATGACTCTGGCTGGTGTGGACAAAATCCTCATTTTAAGACAGATCCTTTAGGAAGCTTATCCTTCATACAACATTATTTGCCGTAATGGAGGGTTTGCAGCCTTCGTGTTCTGCAGGACGTCCCGTTGTTGTCAGATGCTGCAAGAGCTGCAGCTGTGAAAAATCACCCTTTCTCTGCTGCTGTTGACTAGAGCACTGTACCCTTTTCTCTTCAGCTCTGACTTGGCTATGGCTTTGTGGAGCTCAAATGCAACAGCTGTTCACCTTCTAACACCAGAAGTCCCAGGGTGTTTCTTGCTGCAAATGTGCTCCGTCTGCTTGTTGTATTGTTGCATAAAGAGTTGAGGGGAAGGCCTAGGGCCTTTCTCTTTACAGTACCCAGAGAATGGACCTGAGCATTTAAATCTTTGCCTCACATCTAGTGTCTTCCCTGCCCACAGTAGTGTGGTTTGAAATGATAGCATTGTCAGTGTGAAGAATGATACTGCTGAGCACGAGTGATGGAGTGACTGTGGCTGTGCTATGCTTGTGGAAGACACTTCCAGAGCAAAGCACTGCAGATCTCCCTCTTGTCAGAGGAGGATAGAGAGCACTGCTGGTGATACTAACAGGTGGCCATGAAGCAGTTAGAGCCCTGTGCTCCCTGGAGAAGGCTGCAGAAGTCTTGAAGCCATTGCAGCCAGTAGAGCATATGCACCCCTGGGGCAGCTGAGACTTTGCAAGTGATTGTGTTCTGTTGTGATTTGGTGCCATTTTAATTGCATTAGTAATCTGAAGTGCCAGCTGTGCAGAGTAGGGGATGCTGAAGGAAAAAGTAGGATGCACAAGTGTTCTTGGAAGTGCGTAAGTTTGCCCAACAATCATGAGCCTGGAGCTCAAGATATAGAGATATTTCTTTTTGGAGGCAAAACCAAAACTGACAGCAATTTCCTAATTACAGCTTTGTTGCAGGCATTGAAATTAACTGCTGTAAAATAGGTGTGCATACACATATAGGACTGTATATATAGATACAGGGGTATATCATTTGGCATGAGAGTGACTGGCTGCAATTCAAGACAAGACTTTTGCTGAGTATGGAGATGCAGCTTTAGGTGGTGTGGCACATCAGGCATCTTTACAGGGGCTAGGGAAAGGCTCTGCCTTGCATTTTCTTGGACACAGGAGAGAAGGAAAAAAGGTATAGAACAAACAAATGATCATGAATGCCAGACTGTGTCCTGCAGCGCAAAGCAGCTACAGGTACAGACAAAAAAAAAGCAGGCATTTTCCTTAAAAAGTGAGTTCCAACTTTTCTTTTTATATATGTGGTGGATTTAGATAAAGAGTTTGGGGCAGAAGGGAGAGGGCAGGGAGAAATGAGGGATAAGACCATGTGTAAAAAATCTGGCTTTTTGAAAAGAACAGTTTCCAATTTGAATTATACTGGTCCAAGAGGCTTTGCAATTTTTCTGCATCTTGTCATGGGAGGCAGCTTTCACACAGCTGTTGAGCTGCCGCTGCCTTTCTTTCTAAGAGTAATTTGGTCTCTTGGAGGATGGCCTTAGTTTCACATTGTGGCAAGGTTCCGCTGTTTTATTGTTTTGGTATCTAAGCAGAGTAAGAAATTTATGTGATATTAGGGCTTCATGTTTTCAGGTTATAAAAGAAGTTTTTCTTGGAGACTGAGCACACTGGTAGTTCTGATTGGATTTACTCAAGCATATGAGACTCAGAAGTGTGTATCTAAGAAGCGACTAAAGTTGGGATTAAGATTTTAATTCTTCTAAGGCTGTTTTTTTCATTGAAAGACAATGAAGTACTAATCTAAAGAAACTTACCCTCTTCTTTTGTACCTCAAAACTATGCAAAGATAGATCTCTCTAGAAAAACTATGTTGACTGCTGATGTTGATATTAAATGCTCACATTGTTTGACACATTCATGGCACTGTAAACAGACACATGGAATTTTTCATATACTGAATTATGGGGAAGCAGAAATGAAAGCAGCAAGAGCACTGCCAATATTTAGGCAAAACAAAGGACAAAACTGGCAATCCTTTAACAACTAAAACCTTTGTGTTGGCATCTTCAGGAAACTTCATCTTTATTCACCCCACAAAGAAAATCTTCCAAACTAAATCTAGATTAGCCAAATGCCAAACATGTCTGGGGTGGATGATCATAGTACATACAATTAATAGGGGCTCTTGTGCAAGGATTTTAACCCAGAGTATTGAGAGAAGGTGTCCTAACATGTCTGTTACAGTAAAAGATCTTCTGGCACCTGTAGTTACCACATTTTGAAATCTCTTCTAACATGAGTTATGCCAAATGCAGAATATATGGTGTTAACTCATTTAAAAAAAAAAAAGAGACTGCATCCCCAGCTACTCTCCAGGCCACCTTCACAGACCGACCTGCTGACCCCGGAGCTGTGTGTCCCTGCTTTCCCATCTCACCAGGAGAGCAACAGGCAGCTCTGCACAGGGCACTTTGCAGAGAACTGTCTTGTGAACGTGTTCTGAACAATAGCTTTGCTTCCTTGAGTTGGGAACTTAATGTGTGCAGAGCTGTGACTGCAGAAAACTCTCTACCCATTCCCGAGAGTAACTGTAGAGGAACTGAGCAGAGCTTGCAGACAATACATCTTGAGGGCTTGGCTCTGTTTTGAATAAATAGTGTAGAACTACTGTGCTGGCACATAGATACAAAAGAGCTTATTTGCTGAAAGATATTGCATGTTGAAGGGCATATGGTGAATCCGTTTCATTTCTGTGCAGAACTGCAGGATGTTTGTCTCACTAGGGTGTGTGTGTCTTTTTTGATGACAGTGTTTTAAACCTCATGACAACTGTAACTTAATATGTTTTGGTCTGGCATTTATTTTTCTTCCTCTCTGACTAGGATGGTGCTCGTGATATCTTTATTGATGGAGTGGTTGCTCGCAACAGAGCCCTGAATGGTGACATCGTGGTGGTGAAACTTCTGCCCAAGGAGCAATGGAAGGTCAGTTCAATATATTTTTCTGTGATTTCACAGAAGGAGCTTATTACTGTTTTCTTCACTAAACTTAGGGCCTGAGACAGAGAATTTGCTACAAATCAGATTAGCTAAATTGTGGTTTATACTGCTGTAGATTGAAACACTTTATCCATTACAACCTCCGGAAGAAATGATACCTAAAGTGTTGAAACCTCACTCTTTGCATGGAATGGCCTTCTTTATCACTTATATGGAGAAATCTGATGACAAGGCTGGTTCAAAGCATAGCTGTCAGCAGTGACTTTTGATATCTGTTATTTAGCTGTCTTCATGCTGTGGCTTTGGATAGCTCTGTGTAGGTGTTTGCAATTGCTCTTGTGTTTGACAAGTGCTGTTCACAAAACTGTAATAATGATTAATTCTCTCTAATTTGTGGGTCTTCAGTCCATGGAAAGCTTTTCTTGTCACAGCTCCAGATTTTGTGGTAATACCCTTCTTTACATGAATGAAGAATGTATGAAATGATTGGAGCAATGCAAATGTGGGACAATCCGTTTTTCATTTTCGTGTCTGAGAATTTCACTAAGATCACTCTCTCTGTGTTTTTTTTCTTTCACTGATCAAACTCAAACTCCTTCAAACATCTAGATAATTTTATCTTGTTTGTAGGTTTGTCTTTTAACACCACTATGCAAGGAAAGTTCTTACTCCTTTTCTCTAGTTGCTGGGAGATGTAAGCTACAGTTAGCAATTTTAACACAGCTTTTCACATGTAAGCATGACAAAACTGCCACAAATTGTTTTCCAAACATAGTTTTTGAACTCTTCTTGCGAGTGTAAAGACTATTGTATATCTTTTGGACAAAAGTAATAGCGAGTGTGATTCCAGCAAGGTGGGGACTGGTGCTTTTTAATCATTCTGTCTACCTTCTCTGGCTGTCTTTGCTTGAAGTTATGTGGTTTTAGGCTTGCAAATGCAAGGTCTTCGGTCTTTTTGCTGAACCTTCTGCCTTCTCTGTTTAAATCTGATAGCAATGGAAATGATGGTTTGAAACATATTAGTACTTGTCATTTCCTTTTAAGTGTGCGTAAAATGAGTAAACAACCTAAGTATTTATTGACACATGTAAATGCAAAACTGCTTTATGCAAAAGGGAATCATAAGTGGAATCTGAGATATTACAGGTATGTCCATATACAAATACAGGAAAGAGATCTGCTGCTATCTATGTAACCTCTGAAAACCAGTTTTGAGGGTCAAAGCAAAATTTCTCTGGTAGCTATTCAAGAGTCTAAATCAGAGTTCACTAAAGCTGTGATGATTACTATATGTTTGGATCACCAAATCCATATACGTAAATTATCTTTTGTGTTAGACTATTTCATATAGTTGAAAAAATGGACCAGTTTGGGTGCTTAGATCCTCTGCCAGGACCTGCCAGGTAGAAGCTTTGTCTGCAGTTTTCCATTTATATATCCTCATTCCTTCATATGTACAACAGTAATGTTCTTTTATGGATACAAGAGGAAAAGTTCAGAATATTGTCCTTGTCCTGGGCAAATGCTAGAATAAATAGAACTGGTGGAGAAGTGATGTCTGACTGCAAGGAGGCAATTCAGAAGACTTCAGTGTTTTGTAGTATGATTATGATTCTTCTGTGGTGAATTTAACCTTGCCAAATGAAGTAGCTGGAACATGCCAGTCATGTTTTTAGCCACACAGGTGCTGCCCTGTGTAGTCTCATTTTTTGTTTCTTGCCATCAGCAACTTAATCAGCGATGACATCCCTTTTCCCCTGCTCCCTGATTCTCTTGCTATGCACTCGTGTTTGTATTAGTTCTTTGGGAAAGGTGCCACTAAGTTGCACTGGAAGATACTGCATTGTGCCAAGTAATTCATAGTGATTAATGATAAACTGTCGCAACCTGTTTTAGGTTTTTCCATTTGTTTAGTCTCATGCTACTGCAAAGCTGCCACATAGACATCTTGAGGGTTTTCTCCTTCCCGTTGGGACTTTGGAACAAGCTGAAGAGCTTTCAATTATTTCCTTGAAAAATGTAAATCAGATGTATGATATAACTGATGCTCTCAGAGGAGACTTTAGAGGCTCTATACATATTGGTTTGTTAGGATGGAGATGTGTGTGCTGATCATTTTTATGTTTCACTATTCCCAACTCATTAGGTTGCCCTCCACTGAGAACTGAGCTGGATTTTTTGCTGGTAGACCAGTGTCTTGCATGAGATAAGGCTGCTGTTACAGCAGCGTGGTGAGTCTGTGCCTTCTGAGTTTCAAGCGCCCTGGATGGCCTCTGGATGCTCTGAGGGAAGATCTTCCTGTTGCTAGTGCATGTGATTCTTGCTGTGGACCTCTTTGTGCAAAGTCACAGTGTAATGCTGATCCCAGTAACAGCAGGACTTGACTTAGCTGGAACCTCGGTTCAATTTATGTGTGTAAATGGGAGGAAGGGGGAAAACCTGCGAGTGGTAAAACTATGGATTTTGGATAGGGAAATCTGTGTGTTTACTTGAAGAATTGAGAAAGTTAAGAGCTGCCCTGTACCCAATGAGTCAGTCTTTGCGGGTCAAGTGCCTGTGAGAGAAAAACACTGTCTGGAGAGCAGTTGTCTCCAGGGATAGTCTGTTCTGCTGAGCCTGTAATGGTGATACCTTACGCGCAGGTATCAATGCCACAGTGAAATGTAAGGGGATGGTGAAATACTCTAGATGTGCGGTTATACTTTATGTAATACCTTCTTGAGAGGGACATCAGTATTTTCTTCCTCCAGCTCTCCACTTCCTGGCTCAGTGGTGGGAAATTTATCAGACTTGAATTTCTCAACATCATAGCCTTCCCAGCATGTGCATCACATGCTTGGATGAGCTACCGTGGTCCTCCCTGTGCTTATTCTGTCTGGTCTTAAAGCCCTGTTTGTTTGTACATCCCCTGGGAGAGCTGCTTGCAGTTCAGCGGTGATCGGTTTGTCAGTTCATATTTCTCTGCTTACTATTGGTTCTGATCAAGAGCCAACAATTTCAGGGTGGCACCACCAGCTTGAGGGAGAGACATTTTGTCCTTGGAATTTGTTATCTTGCGCTCTTCAAGAAGGTGGCCATCGGCTTCCTGCCAGGGTCAAGCGGCATGCATTGCAGTGACCGCATTTGGAGGTTGTATTTCAGAAGTTCCTCTCCTGTCCTCTTGTGTTACATCTTGGGAATATTGAAGTGCTATGGTAACTTTCAAATATTTAGCTTTTGCAAAGTAAGGTATTTGACTTAGGCTGTTTTTCCAGGTACTTAACCTACTCTTTGCGAATGAAGTCAGAGTATCGTTGCAGTTAGCTAGACTGTCCCCTTCTTACTTCAAGCTGTAGGGCTTCCGTGAATCAGTCCCTTTATCTTCTGGAAGAACATCATGATAAAAGAAAGTCAGTGACAGAGGGTTTACCTCAGTCCTTGTCAATTACTCTGATCAAGAAGAGAAATGATGGTTTATTTCTTGACTGATTTTTACTACTTTAACTTCCACCCGTAGGGTTCTTATTATATTTTATGGAGTTGTGCTTACATCAATTTCAGGAGCTTCAATTATACAGTGACATAATTACTGGAAGGAAAAAAATGTTGATATGATGATTACAGCAATATTTCTAAGGCTCATCGAGGAGGGAAGCAGCATGTCAGTATAAAGGATAAACGTAACCCATCTTTCCTCACAACTTCTTTTTGCTCTTTTACCGTCTGCTTAATTGCCAGACAGAATTTGTTTAATTTCAGATATCCGTTTTGGTTTTTCTTGCAAGCATAGTAAGTCATTTGATATCACTTGGGGCTTGGATTCCTGGCCCAATCTCTGGTGCTTTTAAAGTAGTAGTTTATAGCGTGGAGTGTTTTTCATGACAACCGTCTCACGCATTGTATACTATGGCTGAAATTTTAGAGTCTTAGTCTGAAAACAGTACCCAGACGAGGACTTTTTGCTGCTCAAAACTGGCTGAAAGGAATTCTGGGGTCCAACTCCCTGTTGCTTGCTGCGTATGCAGGAGACATCTCCAGTTCTGCATCTGCTTGCAGCAGTGGTATATGAAAACAACGATAACATATACTATATATGTACACAAAATAATGACAGATTAACCTGTCAGTTTCTCAGCAATCGCTGCCTGCAAGTGGCAGTTGTTGTTTCATGAATCATTTCCTCCTCAGCTTAAAGTGTTCCTTTGCACTATTTTCAGTTCTTTTGATCTTGTCAGAAGTTCTCCAAGGCCAAGGATGTAGAACTGTTCGTTTACGTACAGCATGTGTTCCTGGATAATGGGTCCAGCATTTTAGTCATGAAGTGTCTGAAAGTGATAGAAATAGTAATTCTTTATAACTCGTGAAAGCACATGTTCTGTTCGACACTGAGGTGTCAGATACAATCCAGTGCAGCAGGAGATCTTAGAGTTGCCTCTTCTAGAGTCATACATCAGAGATAAATATTTAAACACTTTCTGTACAGAAGACATAAACTACAGTTCACTTTTCCCAGCTGTGGCTGTTATTGGCATAATTAAGAACAAGCGCATAGAAGGAACTATTTGACTCAAGGAGACATCACAAATATCACCATGTGTAGTTTGAACAGAGTTGCATATCCTGGCAAGTCACTGCCTCCAACTGTTGGTGAAAACCTATGAACCATTAGTTGTCCAGAGGGGATGCTAGCTTTGGATTTGCCTTGGTGAATAATGATTCATTTCAACCAAATTCTTCTGAGAGTCAGTTTCTTCTCAAAATCTCCCAGCTAATGTAAGGATAACAGTAACTCAGGAGGAGATGGGGTTCTTAGAGGGTTATCACAGCAATACTGTTGGAGTCTAACAATCAAGAATGTTGTTTGGAAACATTACATTCATAATAATAATAAAAAAATTCTGGAGAAGTCATTATTGAAATAGTAAGTGTTCTGGCATGCTAAAAATGTTCAAGTGTAATTCGTGATATCCAGGAGTAAAGTGGGAAGCGTAAGAAGCCAGCTAGGA